AGGATCCCCTCAGCCTTCCCATATAGTCTAGGCGGTTAGGATAGCTGGCTCTCACCCAGCAGACCCGGGTTCGAGTCCCGGTGTGGGAACATCTTTTGCTCTTCTTTGCTGCTTCTCCACTCTTGTTTTCGCCGCTTTGGGCGTTCGTCACAGTCTCGGTGCCGTGCTGACCCGCTGCTACATCCCATCCACGGATCCAACCATGCTCGCACGACCAGGAGGTACTCGAGTCTGTCCGGCCATTGGTCGGCGCGTGCAGGCCTACTTGTCGGCGCTGGCCACCGTGCGGAAACGCGTGCGAGCGAGCAGCTCAATGAAGCCGCGAGAGAGCTGGTCGACCAGGCGAGCTGCGGTGCGAGCAGACGAACGCGACGCTCGGAGCTGCGTGCGATGCGAAGGAGGCGACCCCGTCGGTGGCTGGATCGGATGTGGGCAGTACGTGTCGAAATGGTCGGTCGATCAATGGTGGCGATAGGATGAACGCGCTCGCGTTGCGTGTGGCAGCGTGCGTAGGTGGTGCGTTTGGTGTTTGTGTTTGTGTTTGTTTATTGTTGGTCTTGATTGTGTGTTTGTTGGTGGCGATGGTGTTCAGCCTTCCCATATAGTCTAGGCGGTTAGGATAGCTGGCTCTCACCCAGCAGACCCGGGTCGAGTCCCGGTGTGGGAACATCTTTTGCTCTTCTTTGCTGCTTCTCCACTCTTGTTTTCGCCGCTTTGGGCGTTCGTCACAGTCTCGGTGCCGTGCTGACCCGCTGCTACATCCCATCCACGGATCCAACCATGCTCGCACGACCAGGAGGTACTCGAGTCTGTCCGGCCATTGGTCGGCGCGTGCAGGCCTACTTGTCGGCGCTGGCCACCGTGCGGAAACGCGTGCGAGCGAGCTGGTCGACCAGGCGAGCTGCGGTGCGAGCAGACGAACGCGACGCTCGGAGCTGCGTGCGATGCGAAGGAGGCGACCCCGTCGGTGGCTGGATCGGATGTGGGCAGTACGTGTCGAAATGGTCGGTCGATCAATGGTGGCGATAGGATGAACGCGCTCGCGTTGCGTGTGGCAGCGTGCGTAGGTGGTGCGTTTGGTGTTTGTGTTTGTTTGTTGTTGGCCTTGATTGTGTGTTTGTTGGTGGCGATGGTGTTCAGCCTTCCCATATAGTCTAGGCGGTTAGGATAGCTGGCTCTCACCCAGCAGACCCGGGTTCGAGTCCCGGTGTGGGAACATCTATTGCTCTTCTTTGCTGCTTCTCCACTCTTCTTTTCGCCGCTTTGGGGGTCGTCACAGTCTCGGTGCCGTGCTGACCCGCTGCTACATCCCATCCACGGATCCAACCATGCTCGCACGACCAGGAGGTACTCGAGTCTGTCCGGCCATTGGTCGGCGCGTGCAGGCCTACTTGTCGGCGCTGGCGACCGTGCGGAAACGCGTGCGAGCAGCTCAATGAAGCCGCGAGAGAGCTGGTCGACCAGGCGAGCTGCGGTGCGAGCAGACGAACGCGACGCTCGGAGCTGCGTGCGATGCGAAGGAGGCGACCCCGTCGGTGGCTGGATCGGATGTGGGCAGTACGTGTCGAAATGGTCGGTCGATCAATGGTGGCGATAGGATGAACGCGCTCGCGTTGCGTGTGGCAGCGTGCGTAGGTGGTGCGTTTGGTGTTTGTGTTTGTGTTTGTGTTTGTTTGTTGTTGGTCTTGATTGTGTGTTTGTTGGTGGCGATGGTGTTCAGCCTTCCCATATAGTCTAGGCGGTTAGGATAGCTGGCTCTCACCCAGCAGACCCGGGTTCGAGTCCCGGTGTGGGAACATCTTTTGCTCTTCTTTGCTGCTTCTCCACTCTTCTTTTCGCCGCTTTGGGCGTTCGTCACAGTCTCGGTGCCGTGCTGACCCGCTGCTACATCCCATCCACGGATCCAACCATGCTCGCACGACCAGGAGGTACTCGAGTCTGTCCGGCCATTGGTCGGCGCGTGCAGGCCTACTTGTCGGCGCTGGCCACCGTGCGGAAACGCGTGCGAGCGAGCAGCTCAATGAAGCCGCGAGAGAGCTGGTCGACCAGGCGAGCTGCGGTGCGAGCAGACGAACGCGACGCTCGGAGCTGCGTGCGATGCGAAGGAGGCGACCCCGTCGGTGGCTGGATCGGATGTGGGCAGTACGTGTCGAAATGGTCGGTCGATCAATGGTGGCGATAGGATGAACGCGCTCGCGTTGCGTGTGGCAGCGTGCGTAGGTGGTGCGTTTGGTGTTTGTGTTTGTGTTTGTTTGTTGTTGGTCTTGATTGTGTGTTTGTTGGTGGCGATGGTGTTCAGCCTTCCCATATAGTCTAGGCGATTAGGATAGCTGGCTCTCACCCAGCAGACCCGGGTTCGAGTCCCGGTGTGGGAACATCTTTTGCTCTTCTTTGCTGCTTCTCCACTCTTGTTTTCGCCGCTTTGGGCGTTCGTCACAGTCTCGGTGCCGTGCTGACCCGCTGCTACATCCCATCCACGGATCCAACCATGCTCGCACGACCAGGAGGTACTCGAGTCTGTCCGGCCATTGGTCGGCGCGTGCAGGCCTACTTGTCGGCGCTGGCCACCGTGCGGAAACGCGTGCGAGCGAGCAGCTCAATGAAGCCGCGAGAGAGCTGGTCGACCAGGCGAGCTGCGGTGCGAGCAGACGAACGCGACGCTCGGAGCTGCGTGCGATGCGAAGGAGGCGACCCCGTCGGTGGCTGGATCGGATGTGGGCAGTACGTGTCGAAATGGTCGGTCGATCAATGGTGGCGATAGGATGAACGCGCTCGCGTTGCGTGTGGCAGCGTGCGTAGGTGGTGCGTTTGGTGTTTGTGTTTGTGTTTGTTTGTTGTTGGCCTTGATTGTGTGTTTGTTGGTGGCGATGGTGTTCAGCCTTCCCATATAGTCTAGGCGGTTAGGATAGCTGGCTCTCACCCAGCAGACCCGGGTTCGAGTCCCGGTGTGGGAACATCTTTTGCTCTTCTTTGCTGCTTCTCCACTCTTCTTTTCGCCGCTTTGGGCGTTCGTCACAGTCTCGGTGCCGTGCTGACCCGCTGCTACATCCCATCCACGGATCCAACCATGCTCGCACGACCAGGAGGTACTCGAGTCTGTCCGGCCATTGGTCGGCGCGTGCAGGCCTACTTGTCGGCGCTGGCGACCGTGCGGAAACGCGTGCGAGCAGCTCAATGAAGCCGCGAGAGAGCTGGTCGACCAGGCGAGCTGCGGTGCGAGCAGACGAACGCGACGCTCGGAGCTGCGTGCGATGCGAAGGAGGCGACCCCGTCGGTGGCTGGATCGGATGTGGGCAGTACGTGTCGAAATGGTCGGTCGATCAATGGTGGCGATAGGATGAACGCGCTCGCGTTGCGTGTGGCAGCGTGCGTAGGTGGTGCGTTTGGTGTTTGTGTTTGTTTGTTGTTGGTCTTGATTGTGTGTTTGTTGGTGGCGATGGTGTTCAGCCTTCCCATATAGTCTAGGCGGTTAGGATAGCTGGCTCTCACCCAGCAGACCCGGGTTCGAGTCCCGGTGTGGGAACATCTTTTGCTCTTCTTTGCTGCTTCTCCACTCTTCTTTTCGCCGCTTTGGGCGTTCGTCACAGTCTCGGTGCCGTGCTGACCCGCTGCTACATCCCATCCACGGATCCAACCATGCTCGCACGACCAGGAGGTACTCGAGTCTGTCCGGCCATTGGTCGGCGCGTGCAGGTCTACTTGTCGGCGCTGGCCACCGTGCGGAAACGCGTGCGAGCGAGCAGCTCAATGAAGCCGCGAGAGAGCTGGTCGACCAGGCGAGCTGCGGTGCGAGCAGACGAACGCGACGCTCGGAGCTGCGTGCGATGCGAAGGAGGCGACCCCGTCGGTGGCTGGATCGGATGTGGGCAGTACGTGTCGAAATGGTCGGTCGATCAATGGTGGCGATAGGATGAACGCGCTCGCGTTGCGTGTGGCAGCGTGCGTAGGTGGTGCGTTTGGTGTTTGTGTTTGTGTTTGTGTTTGTGTTTGTTTGTTGTTGGTCTTGATTGTGTGTTTGTTGGTGGCGATGGTGTTCAGCCTTCCCATATAGTCTAGGCGGTTAGGATAGCTGGCTCTCACCCAGCAGACCCGGGTTCGAGTCCCGGTGTGGGAACATCTTTTGCTCTTCTTTGCTGCTTCTCCACTCTTCTTTTCGGCGCTTTGGGCGTTCGTCACAGTCTCGGTGCCGTGCTGACCCGCTGCTACATCCCATCCACGGATCCAACCATGCTCGCACGACCAGGAGGTACTCGAGTCTGTCCGGCCATTGGTCGGCGCGTGCAGGCCTACTTGTCGGCGCTGGCCACCGTGCGGAAACGCGTGCGAGCGAGCAGCTCAATGAAGCCGCGAGAGAGCTGGTCGACCAGGCGAGCTGCGGTGCGAGCAGACGAACGCGACGCTCGGAGCTGCGTGCGATGCGAAGGAGGCGACCCCGTCGGTGGCTGGATCGGATGTGGGCAGTACGTGTCGAAATGGTCGGTCGATCAATGGTGGCGATAGGATGAACGCGCTCGCGTTGCGTGTGGCAGCGTGCGTAGGTGGTGCGTTTGGTGTTTGTGTTTGTGTTTGTGTTTGTTTGTTGTTGGTCTTGATTGTGTGTTTGTTGGTGGCGATGGTGTTCAGCCTTCCCATATAGTCTAGGCGGTTAGGATAGCTGGCTCTCACCCAGCAGACCCGGGTTCGAGTCCCGGTGTGGGAACATCTTTTGCTCTTCTTTGCTGCTTCTCCACTCTTCTTTTCGCCGCTTTGGGCGTTCGTCACAGTCTCGGTGCCGTGCTGACCCGCTGCTACATCCCATCCACGGATCCAACCATGCTCGCACGACCAGGAGGTACTCGAGTCTGTCCGGCCATTGGTCGGCGCGTGCAGGCCTACTTGTCGGCGCTGGCCACCGTGCGGAAACGCGTGCGAGCGAGCAGCTCAATGAAGCCGCGAGAGAGCTGGTCGACCAGGCGAGCTGCGGTGCGAGCAGACGAACGCGACGCTCGGAGCTGCGTGCGATGCGAAGGAGGCGACCCCGTCGGTGGCTGGATCGGATGTGGGCAGTACGTGTCGAAATGGTCGGTCGATCAATGGTGGCGATAGGATGAACGCGCTCGCGTTGCGTGTGGCAGCGTGCGTAGGTGGTGCGTTTGGTGTTTGTGTTTGTTTGTTGTTGGCCTTGATTGTGTGTTTGTTGGTGGCGATGGTGTTCAGCCTTCCCATATAGTCTAGGCGGTTAGGATAGCTGGCTCTCACCCAGCAGACCCGGGTCGAGTCCCGGTGTGGGAACATCTATTGCTCTTCTTTGCTGCTTCTCCACTCTTGTTTTCGCCGCTTTGGGCGTTCGTCACAGTCTCGGTGCCGTGCTGACCCGCTGCTACATCCCATCCACGGATCCAACCATGCTCGCACGACCAGGAGGTACTCGAGTCTGTCCGGCCATTGGTCGGCGCGTGCAGGCCTACTTGTCGGCGCTGGCCACCGTGCGGAAACGCGTGCGAGCGAGCAGCTCAATGAAGCCGCGAGAGAGCTGGTCGACCAGGCGAGCTGCGGTGCGAGCAGACGAACGCGACGCTCGGAGCTGCGTGCGATGCGAAGGAGGCGACCCCGTCGGTGGCTGGATCGGATGTGGGCAGTACGTGTCGAAATGGTCGGTCGATCAATGGTGGCGATAGGATGAACGCGCTTGCGTTGCGTGTGGCAGCGTGCGTAGGTGGTGCGTTTGGTGTTTGTGTTTGTTTGTTGTTGGCTTTGATTGTGTGTTTGTTGGTGGCGATGGTGTTCAGCCTTCCCATATAGTCTAGGCGGTTAGGATAGCTGGCTCTCACCCAGCAGACCCGGGTTCGAGTCCCGGTGTGGGAACATCTTTTGCTCTTCTTTGCTGCTTCTCCACTCTTGTTTTCGCCGCTTTGGGCGTTCGTCACAGTCTCGGTGCCGTGCTGACCCGCTGCTACATCCCATCCACGGATCCAACCATGCTCGCACGACCAGGAGGTACTCGAGTCTGTCCGGCCATTGGTCGGCGCGTGCAGGCCTACTTGTCGGCGCTGGCCACCGTGCGGAAACGCGTGCGAGCGAGCAGCTCAATGAAGCCGCGAGAGAGCTGGTCGACCAGGCGAGCTGCGGTGCGAGCAGACGAACGCGACGCTCGGAGCTGCGTGCGATGCGAAGGAGGCGACCCCGTCGGTGGCTGGATCGGATGTGGGCAGTACGTGTCGAAATGGTCGGTCGATCAATGGTGGCGATAGGATGAACGCGCTCGCGTTGCGTGTGGCAGCGTGCGTAGGTGGTGCGTTTGGTGTTTGTGTTTGTGTTTGTTTGTTGTTGGTCTTGATTGTGTGTTTGTTGGTGGCGATGGTGTTCAGCCTTCCCATATAGTCTAGGCGGTTAGGATAGCTGGCTCTCACCCAGCAGACCCGGGTTCGAGTCCCGGTGTGGGAACATCTTTTGCTCTTCTTTGCTGCTTCTCCACTCTTGTTTTCGCCGCTTTGGGCGTTCGTCACAGTCTCGGTGCCGTGCTGACCCGCTGCTACATCCCATCCACGGATCCAACCATGCTCGCACGACCAGGAGGTACTCGAGTCTGTCCGGCCATTGGTCGGCGCGTGCAGGCCTACTTGTCGGCGCTGGCCACCGTGCGGAAACGCGTGCGAGCGAGCAGCTCAATGAAGCCGCGAGAGAGCTGGTCGACCAGGCGAGCTGCGGTGCGAGCAGACGAACGCGACGCTCGGAGCTGCGTGCGATGCGAAGGAGGCGACCCCGTCGGTGGCTGGATCGGATGTGGGCAGTACGTGTCGAAATGGTCGGTCGATCAATGGTGGCGATAGGATGAACGCGCTCGCGTTGCGTGTGGCAGCGTGCGTAGGTGGTGCGTTTGGTGTTTGTGTTTGTTTGTTGTTGGCCTTGATTGTGTGTTTGTTGGTGGCGATGGTGTTCAGCCTTCCCATATAGTCTAGGCGGTTAGGATAGCTGGCTCTCACCCAGCAGACCCGGGTTCGAGTCCCGGTGTGGGAACATCTTTTGCTCTTCTTTGCTGCTTCTCCACTCTTGTTTTCGCCGCTTTGGGCGTTCGTCACAGTCTCGGTGCCGTGCTGACCCGCTGCTACATCCCATCCACGGATCCAACCATGCTCGCACGACCAGGAGGTACTCGAGTCTGTCCGGCCATTGGTCGGCGCGTGCAGGCCTACTTGTCGGCGCTGGCCACCGTGCGGAAACGCGTGCGAGCGAGCAGCTCAATGAAGCCGCGAGAGAGCTGGTCGACCAGGCGAGCTGCGGTGCGAGCAGACGAACGCGACGCTCGGAGCTGCGTGCGATGCGAAGGAGGCGACCCCGTCGGTGGCTGGATCGGATGTGGGCAGTACGTGTCGAAATGGTCGGTCGATCAATGGTGGCGATAGGATGAACGCGCTCGCGTTGCGTGTGGCAGCGTGCGTAGGTGGTGCGTTTGGTGTTTGTGTTTGTTTGTTGTTGGTCTTGATTGTGTGTTTGTTGGTGGCGATGGTGTTCAGCCTTCCCATATAGTCTAGGCGGTTAGGATAGCTGGCTCTCACCCAGCAGACCCGGGTTCGAGTCCCGGTGTGGGAACATCTTTTGCTCTTCTTTGCTGCTTCTCCACTCTTGTTTTCGCCGCTTTGGGCGTTCGTCACAGTCTCGGTGCCGTGCTGACCCGCTGCTACATCCCATCCACGGATCCAACCATGCTCGCACGACCAGGAGGTACTCGAGTCTGTCCGGCCATTGGTCGGCGCGTGCAGGCCTACTTGTCGGCGCTGGCCACCGTGCGGAAACGCGTGCGAGCGAGCAGCTCAATGAAGCCGCGAGAGAGCTGGTCGACCAGGCGAGCTGCGGTGCGAGCAGACGAACGCGACGCTCGGAGCTGCGTGCGATGCGAAGGAGGCGACCCGATCGGTGGCTGGATCGGATGTGGGCAGTACGTGTCGAAATGGTCGGTCGATCAATGGTGGCGATAGGATGAACGCGCTCGCGTTGCGTGTGGCAGCGTGCGTAGGTGGTGCGTTTGGTGTTTGGTGTTTGTGTTTGTTTGTTGTTGGTCTTGATTGTGTGTTTGTTGGTGGCGATGGTGTTCAGCCTTCCCATATAGTCTAGGCGGTTAGGATAGCTGGCTCTCACCCAGCAGACCCGGGTCGAGTCCCGGTGTGGGAACATCTTTTGCTCTTCTTTGCTGCTTCTCCACTCTTGTTTTCGCCGCTTTGGGCGTTCGTCACAGTCTCGGTGCCGTGCTGACCCGCTGCTACATCCCATCCACGGATCCAACCATGCTCGCACGACCAGGAGGTACTCGAGTCTGTCCGGCCATTGGTCGGCGCGTGCAGGCCTACTTGTCGGCGCTGGCGACCGTGCGGAAACGCGTGCGAGCGAGCAGCTCAATGAAGCCGCGAGAGAGCTGGTCGACCAGGCGAGCTGCGGTGCGAGCAGACGAACGCGACGCTCGGAGCTGCGTGCGATGCGAAGGAGGCGACCCCGTCGGTGGCTGGATCGGATGTGGGCAGTACGTGTCGAAATGGTCGGTCGATCAATGGTGGCGATAGGATGAACGCGCTCGCGTTGCGTGTGGCAGCGTGCGTAGGTGGTGCGTTTGGTGTTTGTGTTTGTTTGTTGTTGGCCTTGATTGTGTGTTTGTTGGTGGCGATGGTGTTCAGCCTTCCCATATAGTCTAGGCGGTTAGGATAGCTGGCTCTCACCCAGCAGACCCGGGTCGAGTCCCGGTGTGGGAACATCTATTGCTCTTCTTTGCTGCTTCTCCACTCTTGTTTTCGCCGCTTTGGGCGTTCGTCACAGTCTCGGTGCCGTGCTGACCCGCTGCTACATCCCATCCACGGATCCAACCATGCTCGCACGACCAGGAGGTACTCGAGTCTGTCCGGCCATTGGTCGGCGCGTGCAGGCCTACTTGTCGGCGCTGGCCACCGTGCGGAAACGCGTGCGAGCGAGCAGCTCAATGAAGCCGCGAGAGAGCTGGTCGACCAGGCGAGCTGCGGTGCGAGCAGACGAACGCGACGCTCGGAGCTGCGTGCGATGCGAAGGAGGCGACCCCGTCGGTGGCTGGATCGGATGTGGGCAGTACGTGTCGAAATGGTCGGTCGATCAATGGTGGCGATAGGATGAACGCGCTCGCGTTGCGTGTGGCAGCGTGCGTAGGTGGTGCGTTTGGTGTTTGTGTTTGTTTGTTGTTGGTCTTGATTGTGTGTTTGTTGGTGGCGATGGTGTTCAGCCTTCCCATATAGTCTAGGCGGTTAGGATAGCTGGCTCTCACCCAGCAGACCCGGGTTCGAGTCCCGGTGTGGGAACATCTTTTGCTCTTCTTTGCTGCTTCTCCACTCTTGTTTTCGCCGCTTTGGGCGTTCGTCACAGTCTCGGTGCCGTGCTGACCCGCTGCTACATCCCATCCACGGATCCAACCATGCTCGCACGACCAGGAGGTACTCGAGTCTGTCCGGCCATTGGTCGGCGCGTGCAGGCCTACTTGTCGGCGCTGGCCACCGTGCGGAAACGCGTGCGAGCGAGCAGCTCAATGAAGCCGCGAGAGAGCTGGTCGACCAGGCGAGCTGCGGTGCGAGCAGACGAACGCGACGCTCGGAGCTGCGTGCGATGCGAAGGAGGCGACCCCGTCGGTGGCTGGATCGGATGTGGGCAGTACGTGTCGAAATGGTCGGTCGATCAATGGTGGCGATAGGATGAACGCGCTCGCGTTGCGTGTGGCAGCGTGCGTGGGTGGTGCGTTTGGTGTTTGTGTTTGTTTGTTGTTGGCTTTGATTGTGTGTTTGTTGGTGGCGATGGTGTTCAGCCTTCCCATATAGTCTAGGCGGTTAGGATAGCTGGCTCTCACCCAGCAGACCCGGGTTCGAGTCCCGGTGTGGGAACATCTTTTGCTCTTCTTTGCTGCTTCTCCACTCTTCTTTTCGCCGCTTTGGGCGTTCGTCACAGTCTCGGTGCCGTGCTGACCCGCTGCTACATCCCATCCACGGATCCAACCATGCTCGCACGACCAGGAGGTACTCGAGTCTGTCCGGCCATTGGTCGGCGCGTGCAGGCCTACTTGTCGGCGCTGGCCACCGTGCGGAAACGCGTGCGAGCGAGCAGCTCAATGAAGCCGCGAGAGAGCTGGTCGACCAGGCGAGCTGCGGTGCGAGCAGACGAACGCGACGCTCGGAGCTGCGTGCGATGCGAAGGAGGCGACCCCGTCGGTGGCTGGATCGGATGTGGGCAGTACGTGTCGAAATGGTCGGTCGATCAATGGTGGCGATAGGATGAACGCGCTCGCGTTGCGTGTGACAGCGTGCGTAGGTGGTGCGTTTGGTGTTTGTGTTTGTTTGTGGTTGGTCGTGATTGTGTGTTTGTTGGTGGCGATGGTGTTCAGCCTTCCCATATAGTCTAGGCGGTTAGGATAGCTGGCTCTCACCCAGCAGACCCGGGTCGAGTCCCGGTGTGGGAACATCTTTTGCTCTTCTTTGCTGCTTCTCCACTCTTCTTTTCGCCGCTTTGGGCGTTCGTCACAGTCTCGGTGCCGTGCTGACCCGCTGCTACATCCCATCCACGGATCCAACCATGCTCGCACGACCAGGAGGTACTCGAGTCTGTCCGGCCATTGGTCGGCGCGTGCAGGCCTACTTGTCGGCGCTGGCGACCGTGCGGAAACGCGTGCGAGCGAGCAGCTCAATGAAGCCGCGAGAGAGCTGGTCGACCAGGCGAGCTGCGGTGCGAGCAGACGAACGCGACGCTCGGAGCTGCGTGCGATGCGAAGGAGGCGACCCCGTCGGTGGCTGGATCGGATGTGGGCAGTACGTGTCGAAATGGTCGGTCGATCAATGGTGGCGATAGGATGAACGCGCTCGCGTTGCGTGTGGCAGCGTGCGTAGGTGGTGCGTTTGGTGTTTGTGTTTGTGTTTGTGTTTGTTTGTTGTTGGTCTTGATTGTGTGTTTGTTGGTGGCGATGGTGTTCAGCCTTCCCATATAGTCTAGGCGGTTAGGATAGCTGGCTCTCACCCAGCAGACCCGGGTTCGAGTCCCGGTGTGGGAACATCTTTTGCTCTTCTTTGCTGCTTCTCCACTCTTGTTTTCGCCGCTTTGGGTGTTCGTCACAGTCTCGGTGCCGTGCTGACCCGCTGCTACATCCCATCCACGGATCCAACCATGCTCGCACGACCAGGAGGTACTCGAGTCTGTCCGGCCATTGGTCGGCGCGTGCAGGCCTACTTGTCGGCGCTGGCCACCGTGCGGAAACGCGTGCGAGCGAGCAGCTCAATGAAGCCGCGAGAGAGCTGGTCGACCAGGCGAGCTGCGGTGCGAGCAGACGAACGCGACGCTCGGAGCTGCGTGCGATGCGAAGGAGGCGACCCCGTCGGTGGCTGGATCGGATGTGGGCAGTACGTGTCGAAATGGTCGGTCGATCAATGGTGGCGATAGGATGAACGCGCTCGCGTTGCGTGTGGCAGCGTGCGTAGGTGGTGCGTTTGGTGTTTGTGTTTGTGTTTGTGTTTGTTTGTTGTTGGTCTTGATTGTGTGTTTGTTGGTGGCGATGGTGTTCAGCCTTCCCATATAGTCTAGGCGGTTAGGATAGCTGGCTCTCACCCAGCAGACCCGGGTCGAGTCCCGGTGTGGGAACATCTTTTGCTCTTCTTTGCTGCTTCTCCACTCTTGTTTTCGCCGCTTTGGGCGTTCGTCACAGTCTCGGTGCCGTGCTGACCCGCTGCTACATCCCATCCACGGATCCAACCATGCTCGCACGACCAGGAGGTACTCGAGTCTGTCCGGCCATTGGTCGGCGCGTGCAGGCCTACTTGTCGGCGCTGGCCACCGTGCGGAAACGCGTGCGAGCGAGCAGCTCAATGAAGCCGCGAGAGAGCTGGTCGACCAGGCGAGCTGCGGTGCGAGCAGACGAACGCGACGCTCGGAGCTGCGTGCGATGCGAAGGAGGCGACCCCGTCGGTGGCTGGATCGGATGTGGGCAGTACGTGTCGAAATGGTCGGTCGATCAATGGTGGCGATAGGATGAACGCGCTCGCGTTGCGTGTGGCAGCGTGCGTAGGTGGTGCGTTTGGTGTTTGTGTTTGTGTTTGTGTTTGTTTGTTGTTGGTCTTGATTGTGTGTTTGTTGGTGGCGATGGTGTTCAGCCTTCCCATATAGTCTAGGCGGTTAGGATAGCTGGCTCTCACCCAGCAGACCCGGGTTCGAGTCCCGGTGTGGGAACATCTTTTGCTCTTCTTTGCTGCTTCTCCACTCTTGTTTTCGCCGCTTTGGGCGTTCGTCACAGTCTCGGTGCCGTGCTGACCCGCTGCTACATCCCATCCACGGATCCAACCATGCTCGCACGACCAGGAGGTACTCGAGTCTGTCCGGCCATTGGTCGGCGCGTGCAGGCCTACTTGTCGGCGCTGGCCACCGTGCGGAAACGCGTGCGAGCGAGCAGCTCAATGAAGCCGCGAGAGAGCTGGTCGACCAGGCGAGCTGCGGTGCGAGCAGACGAACGCGACGCTCGGAGCTGCGTGCGATGCGAAGGAGGCGACCCCGTCGGTGGCTGGATCGGATGTGGGCAGTACGTGTCGAAATGGTCGGTCGATCAATGGTGGCGATAGGATGAACGCGCTCGCGTTGCGTGTGGCAGCGTGCGTAGGTGGTGCGTTTGGTGTTTGTGTTTGTGTTTGTTTGTTGTTGGTCTTGATTGTGTGTTTGTTGGTGGCGATGGTGTTCAGCCTTCCCATATAGTCTAGGCGGTTAGGATAGCTGGCTCTCACCCAGCAGACCCGGGTTCGAGTCCCGGTGTGGGAACATCTTTTGCTCTTCTTTGCTGCTTCTCCACTCTTGTTTTCGCCGCTTTGGGCGTTCGTCACAGTCTCGGTGCCGTGCTGACCCGCTGCTACATCCCATCCACGGATCCAACCATGCTCGCACGACCAGGAGGTACTCGAGTCTGTCCGGCCATTGGTCGGCGCGTGCAGGCCTACTTGTCGGCGCTGGCCACCGTGCGGAAACGCGTGCGAGCGAGCTGGTCGACCAGGCGAGCTGCGGTGCGAGCAGACGAACGCGACGCTCGGAGCTGCGTGCGATGCGAAGGAGGCGACCCCGTCGGTGGCTGGATCGGATGTGGGCAGTACGTGTCGAAATGGTCGGTCGATCAATGGTGGCGATAGGATGAACGCGCTCGCGTTGCGTGTGGCAGCGTGCGTAGGTGGTGCGTTTGGTGTTTGTGTTGGTGTTTGTGTTTGTTTGTTGTTGGTCTTGATTGTGTGTTTGTTGGTGGCGATGGTGTTCAGCCTTCCCATATAGTCTAGGCGGTTAGGATAGCTGGCTCTCACCCAGCAGACCCGGGTCGAGTCCCGGTGTGGGAACATCTTTTGCTCTTCTTTGCTGCTTCTCCACTCTTGTTTTCGCCGCTTTGGGCGTTCGTCACAGTCTCGGTGCCGTGCTGACCCGCTGCTACATCCCATCCACGGATCCAACCATGCTCGCACGACCAGGAGGTACTCGAGTCTGTCCGGCCATTGGTCGGCGCGTGCAGGCCTACTTGTCGGCGCTGGCCACCGTGCGGAAACGCGTACGAGCGAGCAGCTCAATGAAGCAGCGAGAGAGCTGGTCGACCAGGCGAGCTGCGGTGCGAGCAGACGAACGCGACGCTCGGAGCTGCGTGCGATGCGAAGGAGGCGACCCCGTCGGTGGCTGGATCGGATGTGGGCAGTACGTGTCGAAATGGTCGGTCGATCAATGGTGGCGATAGGATGAACGCGCTCGCGTTGCGTGTGGCAGCGTGCGTAGGTGGTGCGTTTGGTGTTTGTGTTTGTGTTTGTGTTTGTTTGTTGTTGGTCTTGATTGTGTGTTTGTTGGTGGCGATGGTGTTCAGCCTTCCCATATAGTCTAGGCGGTTAGGATAGCTGGCTCTCACCCAGCAGACCCGGGTTCGAGTCCCGGTGTGGGAACATCTTTTGCTCTTCTTTGCTGCTTCTCCACTCTTGTTTTCGCCGCTTTGGGCGTTCGTCACAGTCTCGGTGCCGTGCTGACCCGCTGCTACATCCCATCCACGGATCCAACCATGCTCGCACGACCAGGAGGTACTCGAGTCTGTCCGGCCATTGGTCGGCGCGTGCAGGCCTACTTGTCGGCGCTGGCCACCGTGCGGAAACGCGTGCGAGCGAGCTGGTCGACCAGGCGAGCTGCGGTGCGAGCAGACGAACGCGACGCTCGGAGCTGCGTGCGATGCGAAGGAGGCGACCCCGTCGGTGGCTGGATCGGATGTGGGCAGTACGTGTCGAAATGGTCGGTCGATCAATGGTGGCGATAGGATGAACGCGCTCGCGTTGCGTGTGGCAGCGTGCGTAGGTGGTGCGTTTGGTGTTTGTGTTTGTGTTTGTGTTTGTTTGTTGTTGGTCTTGATTGTGTGTTTGTTGGTGGCGATGGTGTTCAGCCTTCCCATATAGTCTAGGCGGTTAGGATAGCTGGCTCTCACCCAGCAGACCCGGGTCGAGTCCCGGTGTGGGAACATCTTTTGCTCTTCTTTGCTGCTTCTCCACTCTTGTTTTCGCCGCTTTGGGCGTTCGTCACAGTCTCGGTGCCGTGCTGACCCGCTGCTACATCCCATCCACGGATCCAACCATGCTCGCACGACCAGGAGGTACTCGAGTCTGTCCGGCCATTGGTCGGCGCGTGCAGGCCTACTTGTCGGCGCTGGCCACCGTGCGGAAACGCGTACGAGCGAGCAGCTCAATGAAGCAGCGAGAGAGCTGGTCGACCAGGCGAGCTGCGGTGCGAGCAGACGAACGCGACGCTCGGAGCTGCGTGCGATGCGAAGGAGGCGACCCGATCGGTGGCTGGATCGGATGTGGGCAGTACGTGTCGAAATGGTCGGTCGATCAATGGTGGCGATAGGATGAACGCGCTCGCGTTGCGTGTGGCAGCGTGCGTAGGTGGTGCGTTTGGTGTTTGGTGTTTGTGTTTGTTTGTTGTTGGTCTTGATTGTGTGTTTGTTGGTGGCGATGGTGTTCAGCCTTCCCATATAGTCTAGGCGGTTAGGATAGCTGGCTCTCACCCAGCAGACCCGGGTCGAGTCCCGGTGTGGGAACATCTTTTGCTCTTCTTTGCTGCTTCTCCACTCTTGTTTTCGCCGCTTTGGGCGTTCGTCACAGTCTCGGTGCCGTGCTGACCCGCTGCTACATCCCATCCACGGATCCAACCATGCTCGCACGACCAGGAGGTACTCGAGTCTGTCCGGCCATTGGTCGGCGCGTGCAGGCCTACTTGTCGGCGCTGGCCACCGTGCGGAAACGCGTGCGAGCGAGCAGCTCAATGAAGCCGCGAGAGAGCTGGTCGACCAGGCGAGCTGCGGTGCGAGCAGACGAACGCGACGCTCGGAGCTGCGTGCGATGCGAAGGAGGCGACCCGATCGGTGGCTGGATCGGATGTGGGCAGTACGTGTCGAAATGGTCGGTCGATCAATGGTGGCGATAGGATGAACGCGCTCGCGTTGCGTGTGGCAGCGTGCGTAGGTGGTGCGTTTGGTGTTTGGTGTTTGTGTTTGTTTGTTGTTGGTCTTGATTGTGTGTTTGTTGGTGGCGATGGTGTTCAGCCTTCCCATATAGTCTAGGCGGTTAGGATAGCTGGCTCTCACCCAGCAGACCCGGGTCGAGTCCCGGTGTGGGAACATCTTTTGCTCTTCTTTGCTGCTTCTCCACTCTTCTTTTCGCCGCTTTGGGCGTTCGTCACAGTCTCAGTGCCGTGCTGACCCGCTGCTACATCCCATCCACGGATCCAACCATGCTCGCACGACCAGGAGGTACTCGAGTCTGTCCGGCCATTGGTCGGCGCGTGCAGGTCTACTTGTCGGCGCTGGCCACCGTGCGGAAACGCGTGCGAGCGAGCAGCTCAATGAAGCCGCGAGAGAGCTGGTCGACCAGGCGAGCTGCGGTGCGAGCAGACGAACGCGACGCTCGGAGCTGCGTGCGATGCGAAGGAGGCGACCCCGTCGGTGGCTGGATCGGATGTGGGCAGTACGTGTCGAAATGGTCGGTCGATCAATGGTGGCGATAGGATGAACGCGCTCGCGTTGCGTGTGGCAGCGTGCGTAGGTGGTGCGTTTGGTGTTTGTGTTTGTGTTTGTGTTTGTTTGTTGTTGGTCTTGATTGTGTGTTTGTTGGTGGCGATGGTGTTCAGCCTTCCCATATAGTCTAGGCGGTTAGGATAGCTGGCTCTCACCCAGCAGACCCGGGTCGAGTCCCGGTGTGGGAACATCTTTTGCTCTTCTTTGCTGCTTCTCCACTCTTCTTTTCGCCGCTTTGGGGGTCGTCACAGTCTCGGTGCCGTGCTGACCCGCTGCTACATCCCATCCACGGATCCAACCATGCTCGCACGACCAGGAGGTACTCGAGTCTGTCCGGCCATTGGTCGGCGCGTACAGGCCTACTTGTCGGCGCTGGCCACCGTGCGGAAACGCGTGCGAGCGAGCAGCTCAATGAAGCCGCGAGAGAGCTGGTCGACCAGGCGAGCTGCGGTGCGAGCAGACGAACGCGACGCTCGGAGCTGCGTGCGATGCGAAGGAGGCGACCCCGTCGGTGGCTGGATCGGATGTGGGCAGTACGTGTCGAAATGGTCGGTCGATCAATGGTGGCGATAGGATGAACGCGCTCGCGTTGCGTGTGGCAGCGTGCGTAGGTGGTGCGTTTGGTGTTTGTGTTTGTGTTTGTGTTTGTTTGTTGTTGGTCTTGATTGTGTGTTTGTTGGTGGCGATGGTGTTCAGCCTTCCCATATAGTCTAGGCGGTTAGGATAGCTGGCTCTCACCCAGCAGACCCGGGTCGAGTCCCGGTGTGGGAACATCTATTGCTCTTCTTTGCTGCTTCTCCACTCTTGTTTTCGCCGCTTTGGGCGTTCGTCACAGTCTCGGTGCCGTGCTGACCCGCTGCTACATCCCATCCACGGATCCAACCATGCTCGCACGACCAGGAGGTACTCGAGTCTGTCCGGCCATTGGTCGGCGCGTACAGGCCTACTTGTCGGCGCTGGCCACCGTGCGGAAACGCGTGCGAGCGAGCAGCTCAATGAAGCCGCGAGAGAGCTGGTCGACCAGGCGAGCTGCGGTGCGAGCAGACGAACGCGACGCTCGGAGCTGCGTGCGATGCGAAGGAGGCGACCCCGTCGGTGGCTGGATCGGATGTGGGCAGTACGTGTCGAAATGGTCGGTCGATCAATGGTGGCGATAGGATGAACGCGCTCGCGTTGCGTGTGGCAGCGTGCGTAGGTGGTGCGTTTGGTGTTTGTGTTTGTTTGTTGTTGGCCTTGATTGTGTGTTTGTTGGTGGCGATGGTGTTCAGCCTTCCCATATAGTCTAGGCGGTTAGGATAGCTGGCTCTCACCCAGCAGACCCGGGTCGAGTCCCGGTGTGGGAACATCTATTGCTCTTCTTTGCTGCTTCTCCACTCTTGTTTTCGCCGCTTTGGGCGTTCGTCACAGTCTCGGTGCCGTGCTGACCCGCTGCTACATCCCATCCACGGATCCAACCATGCTCGCACGACCAGGAGGTACTCGAGTCTGTCCGGCCATTGGTCGGCGCGTGCAGGCCTACTTGTCGGCGCTGGCCACCGTGCGGAAACGCGTGCGAGCGAGCAGCTCAATGAAGCCGCGAGAGAGCTGGTCGACCAGGCGAGCTGCGGTGCGAGCAGACGAACGCGACGCTCGGAGCTGCGTGCGATGCGAAGGAGGCGACCCCGTCGGTGGCTGGATCGGATGTGGGCAGTACGTGTCGAAATGGTCGGTCGATCAATGGTGGCGATAGGATGAACGCGCTCGCGTTGCGTGTGGCAGCGTGCGTAGGTGGTGCGTTTGGTGTTTGTGTTTGTTTGTTGTTGGCCTTGATTGTGTGTTTGTTGGTGGCGATGGTGTTCAGCCTTCCCATATAGTCTAGGCGGTTAGGATAGCTGGCTCTCACCCAGCAGACCCGGGTTCGAGTCCCGGTGTGGGAACATCTTTTGCTCTTCTTTGCTGCTTCTCCACTCTTCTTTTCGCCGCTTTGGGCGTTCGTCACAGTCTCGGTGCCGTGCTGACCCGCTGCTACATCCCATCCACGGATCCAACCATGCTCGCACGACCAGGAGGTACTCGAGTCTGTCCGGCCATTGGTCGGCGCGTGCAGGTCTACTTGTCGGCGCTGGCCACCGTGCGGAAACGCGTGCGAGCGAGCAGCTCAATGAAGCCGCGAGAGAGCTGGTCGACCAGGCGAGCTGCGGTGCGAGCAGACGAACGCGACGCTCGGAGCTGCGTGCGATGCGAAGGAGGCGACCCCGTCGGTGGCTGGATCGGATGTGGGCAGTACGTGTCGAAATGGTCGGTCGATCAATGGTGGCGATAGGATGAACGCGCTCGCGTTGCGTGTGGCAGCGTGCGTAGGTGGTGCGTTTGGTGTTTGTGTTTGTTTGTTGTTGGCCTTGATTGTGTGTTTGTTGGTGGCGATGGTGTTCAGCCTTCCCATATAGTCTAGGCGGTTAGGATAGCTGGCTCTCACCCAGCAGACCCGGGTTCGAGTCCCGGTGTGGGAACATCTTTTGCTCTTCTTTGCTGCTTCTCCACTCTTCTTTTCGCCGCTTTGGGCGTTCGTCACAGTCTCGGTGCCGTGCTGACCCGCTGCTACATCCCATCCACGGATCCAACCATGCTCGCACGACCAGGAGGTACTCGAGTCTGTCCGGCCATTGGTCGGCGCGTGCAGGCCTACTTGTCGGCGCTGGCCACCGTGCGGAAACGCGTGCGAGCGAGCAGCTCAATGAAGCCGCGAGAGAGCTGGTCGACCAGGCGAGCTGCGGTGCGAGCAGACGAACGCGACGCTCGGAGCTGCGTGCGATGCGAAGGAGGCGACCCCGTCGGTGGCTGGATCGGATGTGGGCAGTACGTGTCGAAATGGTCGGTCGATCAATGGTGGCGATAGGATGAACGCGCTCGCGTTGCGTGTGGCAGCGTGCGTAGGTGGTGCGTTTGGTGTTTGTGTTTGTGTTTGTTTGTTGTTGGTCTTGATTGTGTGTTTGTTGGTGGCGATGGTGTTCAGCCTTCCCATATAGTCTAGGCGGTTAGGATAGCTGGCTCTCACCCAGCAGACCCGGGTTCGAGTCCCGGTGTGGGAACATCTTTTGCTCTTCTTTGCTGCTTCTCCACTCTTCTTTTCGCCGCTTTGGGCGTTCGTCACAGTCTCGGTGCCGTGCTGACCCGCTGCTACATCCCATCCACGGATCCAACCATGCTCGCACGACCAGGAGGTACTCGAGTCTGTCCGGCCATTGGTCGGCGCGTGCAGGCCTACTTGTCGGCGCTGGCCACCGTGCGGAAACGCGTGCGAGCGAGCAGCTCAATGAAGCCGCGAGAGAGCTGGTCGACCAGGCGAGCTGCGGTGCGAGCAGACGAACGCGACGCTCGGAGCTGCGTGCGATGCGAAGGAGGCGACCCCGTCGGTGGCTGGATCGGATGTGGGCAGTACGTGTCGAAATGGTCGGTCGATCAATGGTGGCGATAGGATGAACGCGCTCGCGTTGCGTGTGGCAGCGTGCGTAGGTGGTGCGTTTGGTGTTTGTGTTTGTTTGTTGTTGGCCTTGATTGTGTGTTTGTTGGTGGCGATGGTGTTCAGCCTTCCCATATAGTCTAGGCGGTTAGGATAGCTGGCTCTCACCCAGCAGACCCGGGTCGAGTCCCGGTGTGGGAACATTTTGCTCTTCTTTGCTGCTTCTCCACTCTTCTTTTCGCCGCTTTGGGCGTTCGTCACAGTCTCGGTGCCGTGCTGACCCGCTGCTACATCCCATCCACGGATCCAACCATGCTCGCACGACCAGGAGGTACTCGAGTCTGTCCGGCCATTGGTCGGCGCGTGCAGGCCTACTTGTCGGCGCTGGCCACCGTGCGGAAACGCGTACGAGCGAGCAGCTCAATGAAGCAGCGAGAGAGCTGGTCGACCAGGCGAGCTGCGGTGCGAGCAGACGAACGCGACGCTCGGAGCTGCGTGCGATGCGAAGGAGGCGACCCCGTCGGTGGCTGGATCGGATGTGGGCAGTACGTGTCGAAATGGTCGGTCGATCAATGGTGGCGATAGGATGAACGCGCTCGCGTTGCGTGTGGCAGCGTGCGTAGGTGGTGCGTTTGGTGTTTGTGTTTGTGTTTGTGTTTGTTTGTTGTTGGTCTTGATTGTGTGTTTGTTGGTGGCGATGGTGTTCAGCCTTCCCATATAGTCTAGGCGGTTAGGATAGCTGGCTCTCACCCAGCAGACCCGGGTTCGAGTCCCGGTGTGGGAACATCTTTTGCTCTTCTTTGCTGCTTCTCCACTCTTGTTTTCGCCGCTTTGGGCGTTCGTCACAGTCTCGGTGCCGTGCTGACCCGCTGCTACATCCCATCCACGGATCCAACCATGCTCGCACGACCAGGAGGTACTCGAGTCTGTCCGGCCATTGGTCGGCGCGTGCAGGCCTACTTGTCGGCGCTGGCCACCGTGCGGAAACGCGTGCGAGCAGCTCAATGAAGCCGCGAGAGAGCTGGTCGACCAGGCGAGCTGCGGTGCGAGCAGACGAACGCGACGCTCGGAGCTGCGTGCGATGCGAAGGAGGCGACCCCGTCGGTGGCTGGATCGGATGTGGGCAGTACGTGTCGAAATGGTCGGTCGATCAATGGTGGCGATAGGATGAACGCGCTCGCGTTGCGTGTGGCAGCGTGCGTAGGTGGTGCGTTTGGTGTTTGTGTTTGTTTGTTGTTGGTCTTGATTGTGTGTTTGTTGGTGGCGATGGTGTTCAGCCTTCCCATATAGTCTAGGCGGTTAGGATAGCTGGCTCTCACCCAGCAGACCCGGGTCGAGTCCCGGTGTGGGAACATCTTTTGCTCTTCTTTGCTGCTTCTCCACTCTTGTTTTCGCCGCTTTGGGGGTCGTCACAGTCTCGGTGCCGTGCTGACCCGCTGCTACATCCCATCCACGGATCCAACCATGCTCGCACGACCAGGAGGTACTCGAGTCTGTCCGGCCATTGGTCGGCGCGTGCAGGCCTACTTGTCGGCGCTGGCCACCGTGCGGAAACGCGTGCGAGCGAGCAGCTCAATGAAGCCGCGAGAGAGCTGGTCGACCAGGCGAGCTGCGGTGCGAGCAGACGAACGCGACGCTCGGAGCTGCGTGCGATGCGAAGGAGGCGACCCCGTCGGTGGCTGGATCGGATGTGGGCAGTACGTGTCGAAATGGTCGGTCGATCAATGGTGGCGATAGGATGAACGCGCTCGCGTTGCGTGTGGCAGCGTGCGTAGGTGGTGCGTTTGGTGTTTGTGTTTGTGTTTGTGTTTGTTTGTTGTTGGTCTTGATTGTGTGTTTGTTGGTGGCGATGGTGTTCAGCCTTCCCATATAGTCTAGGCGGTTAGGATAGCTGGCTCTCACCCAGCAGACCCGGGTCGAGTCCCGGTGTGGGAACATCTTTTGCTCTTCTTTGCTGCTTCTCCACTCTTCTTTTCGCCGCTTTGGGCGTTCGTCACAGTCTCGGTGCCGTGCTGACCCGCTGCTACATCCCATCCACGGATCCAACCATGCTCGCACGACCAGGAGGTACTCGAGTCTGTCCGGCCATTGGTCGGCGCGTGCAGGCCTACTTGTCGGCGCTGGCCACCGTGCGGAAACGCGTGCGAGCGAGCAGCTCAATGAAGCCGCGAGAGAGCTGGTCGACCAGGCGAGCTGCGGTGCGAGCAGACGAACGCGACGCTCGGAGCTGCGTGCGATGCGAAGGAGGCGACCCCGTCGGTGGCTGGATCGGATGTGGGCAGTACGTGTCGAAATGGTCGGTCGATCAATGGTGGCGATAGGATGAACGCGCTCGCGTTGCGTGTGGCAGCGTGCGTAGGTGGTGCGTTTGGTGTTTGTGTTTGTGTTTGTTTGTTGTTGGTCTTGATTGTGTGTTTGTTGGTGGCGATGGTGTTCAGCCTTCCCATATAGTCTAGGCGGTTAGGATAGCTGGCTCTCACCCAGCAGACCCGGGTTCGAGTCCCGGTGTGGGAACATCTTTTGCTCTTCTTTGCTGCTTCTCCACTCTTCTTTTCGCCGCTTTGGGCGTTCGTCACAGTCTCGGTGCCGTGCTGACCCGCTGCTACATCCCATCCACGGATCCAACCATGCTCGCACGACCAGGAGGTACTCGAGTCTGTCCGGCCATTGGTCGGCGCGTGCAGGCCTACTTGTCGGCGCTGGCGACCGTGCGGAAACGCGTGCGAGCGAGCAGCTCAATGAAGCCGCGAGAGAGCTGGTCGACCAGGCGAGCTGCGGTGCGAGCAGACGAACGCGACGCTCGGAGCTGCGTGCGATGCGAAGGAGGCGACCCGATCGGTGGCTGGATCGGATGTGGGCAGTACGTGTCGAAATGGTCGATCGATCAATGGTGGCGATAGGATGAACGCGCTCGCGTTGCGTGTGGCAGCGTGCGTAGGTGGTGCGTTTGGTGTTTGTGTTTGTGTTTGTGTTTGTTTGTTGTTGGCCTTGATTGTGTGTTTGTTGGTGGCGATGGTGTTCAGCCTTCCCATATAGTCTAGGCGGTTAGGATAGCTGGCTCTCACCCAGCAGACCCGGGTTCGAGTCCCGGTGTGGGAACATCTTTTGCTCTTCTTTGCTGCTTCTCCACTCTTGTTTTCGCCGCTTTGGGCGTTCGTCACAGTCTCGGTGCCGTGCTGACCCGCTGCTACATCCCATCCACGGATCCAACCATGCTCGCACGACCAGGAGGTACTCGAGTCTGTCCGGCCATTGGTCGGCGCGTGCAGGCCTACTTGTCGGCGCTGGCCACCGTGCGGAAACGCGTGCGAGCGAGCAGCTCAATGAAGCCGCGAGAGAGCTGGTCGACCAGGCGAGCTGCGGTGCGAGCAGACGAACGCGACGCTCGGAGCTGCGTGCGATGCGAAGGAGGCGACCCCGTCGGTGGCTGGATCGGATGTGGGCAGTACGTGTCGAAATGGTCGGTCGATCAATGGTGGCGATAGGATGAACGCGCTCGCGTTGCGTGTGGCAGCGTGCGTAGGTGGTGCGTTTGGTGTTTGTGTTTGTTTGTTGTTGGCCTTGATTGTGTGTTTGTTGGTGGCGATGGTGTTCAGCCTTCCCATATAGTCTAGGCGGTTAGGATAGCTGGCTCTCACCCAGCAGACCCGGGTTCGAGTCCCGGTGTGGGAACATCTTTTGCTCTTCTTTGCTGCTTCTCCACTCTTGTTTTCGCCGCTTTGGGCGTTCGTCACAGTCTCGGTGCCGTGCTGACCCGCTGCTACATCCCATCCACGGATCCAACCATGCTCGCACGACCAGGAGGTACTCGAGTCTGTCCGGCCATTGGTCGGCGCGTGCAGGCCTACTTGTCGGCGCTGGCCACCGTGCGGAAACGCGTGCGAGCGAGCAGCTCAATGAAGCCGCGAGAGAGCTGGTCGACCAGGCGAGCTGCGGTGCGAGCAGACGAACGCGACGCTCGGAGCTGCGTGCGATGCGAAGGAGGCGACCCCGTCGGTGGCTGGATCGGATGTGGGCAGTACGTGTCGAAATGGTCGGTCGATCAATGGTGGCGATAGGATGAACGCGCTCGCGTTGCGTGTGGCAGCGTGCGTAGGTGGTGCGTTTGGTGTTTGTGTTTGTTTGTTGTTGGCCTTGATTGTGTGTTTGTTGGTGGCGATGGTGTTCAGCCTTCCCATATAGTCTAGGCGGTTAGGATAGCTGGCTCTCACCCAGCAGACCCGGGTTCGAGTCCCGGTGTGGGAACATCTTTTGCTCTTCTTTGCTACTTCTCCACTCTTGTTTTCGCCGCTTTGGGCGTTCGTCACAGTCTCGGTGCCGTGCTGACCCGCTGCTACATCCCATCCACGGATCCAACCATGCTCGCACGACCAGGAGGTACTCGAGTCTGTCCGGCCATTGGTCGGCGCGTGCAGGCCTACTTGTCGGCGCTGGCCACCGTGCGGAAACGCGTGCGAGCGAGCAGCTCAATGAAGCCGCGAGAGAGCTGGTCGACCAGGCGAGCTGCGGTGCGAGCAGACGAACGCGACGCTCGGAGCTGCGTGCGATGCGAAGGAGGCGACCCCGTCGGTGGCTGGATCGGATGTGGGCAGTACGTGTCGAAATGGTCGGTCGATCAATGGTGGCGATAGGATGAACGCGCTCGCGTTGCGTGTGGCAGCGTGCGTGGGTGGTGCGTTTGGTGTTTGTGTTTGTTTGTTGTTGGCTTTGATTGTGTGTTTGTTGGTGGCGATGGTGTTCAGCCTTCCCATATAGTCTAGGCGGTTAGGATAGCTGGCTCTCACCCAGCAGACCCGGGTCGAGTCCCGGTGTGGGAACATCTTTTGCTCTTCTTTGCTGCTTCTCCACTCTTGTTTTCGCCGCTTTGGGCGTTCGTCACAGTCTCGGTGCCGTGCTGACCCGCTGCTACATCCCATCCACGGATCCAACCATGCTCGCACGACCAGGAGGTACTCGAGTCTGTCCGGCCATTGGTCGGCGCGTGCAGGCCTACTTGTCGGCGCTGGCCACCGTGCGGAAACGCGTGCGAGCGAGCAGCTCAATGAAGCCGCGAGAGAGCTGGTCGACCAGGCGAGCTGCGGTGCGAGCAGACGAACGCGACGCTCGGAGCTGCGTGCGATGCGAAGGAGGCGACCCCGTCGGTGGCTGGATCGGATGTGGGCAGTACGTGTCGAAATGGTCGGTCGATCAATGGTGGCGATAGGATGAACGCGCTCGCGTTGCGTGTGGCAGCGTGCGTAGGTGGTGCGTTTGGTGTTTGGGGTTGGGGTTGGTTGGTTGTT